ACGACGCTCATCGACACTCGTCGTACACAATTGCCGGGAATACAATTCGTCGTATGCAGCCTCTAATTCAATATTGCATATTCGCGCCGAGAAAATAGGAAATAGACGCCAGTGAAAATAGCACGCCCAAGCCTCGGGAACAAGAGTCGCGTATTTATTAAATTGAAGCTACGAAGCCGTGCTTGTTGTCGAGGCAACTCCTTCGCAGAGAAGTGCTACGTCTTCCATGAAAGTATTAACTGCGCGATGTCGGGTCTTCGCAAATACGACGCGGCGGAGTTTCCTTCGCTTCGCTTACCCGGCGACAGAAACCTTTCCTGTAGCAACTTACGAGCAGGCTAGCTTTGCGCGAAATAAAATCGCGAAATGAAATTCCCATTTTTCGAATCGAGCGTCTATTTCATGTCAAAAAACTTCGCACGTATTTTTGTGTTATTCAGCCGAATCCATTCAAATTGATCCCTTACTATACGGTCAGTATTCGAAAAATAGATATGCTTTACCCTATACTTTCCTGTCAAAGTTGTCTATAGAAGTTTTGCATGCAAAACGTTGAGCTACATTGAGGCAATGAGCTGTAACGAGTTGCATCGACGATGAGCATCGATGATACCGAAGAATTAATCGAATTATCGCATTAATCGAATCACGGTGTTACGTTCCTACGTCGTAACAGTGTAACTTCGTCGGGCCAACGTTGTTTATTAACGTACGTACTCTCGGTACGATCCAGTCCGTAACGTAATTACCTCACATCGAGGACACTAACGACGAAGACGCAGCAATAAACATCTAGCGAGATAAAAGGATAAGGATAAAAGAAACGGGCGAAGATAAATTTCGCGATAAAAGCACAAGCGAACTTGGCACGCCAAGTTTTAATGACGTTCTCGAGTAATATAAAATACTTTTATACTCATTATCAAGAGAGCAATATAGAAAACGTGAATTATCGAAGCGAGGAAACTTTCCTTGTCCCGGAAACTTTGATCGAACGCGCGGGCGACAGATAAGTTTTCGGAAATGAGAATTGCGTGCCGTGCCTCTAAATCTCACTTCAACAATCTGATCCCGATTTTCTATCTATAGATAGAGAAACGTCGGAGAAATATCGCGCGTTTTAAATATGTCAGAATTCTATGTAACTGTAACTTATAATGTATAACGAAAAATGAACTATTAAAAACTTATTTTTTTCTATATCAAATATAATAATCGCGCGAATCAAATATATTTTTATTTTATATTTCTATTTTATATATTCGCAATACCTCTTTTTTATTGTGTTATTTTATAATTTTGTCGTATTATACTGTATTATATATATTTCCTTTTTTTGCTGCTCAACTAGTATTTGACATATCTCGGAATTAATAATAATAATGAAAATAATAATAAATCAGATTATTATTATTTCGTAAAAACACGTGTACCTTTATTTGCACTTCGTCCTTATCAGGACCCAGAGATCGATCAGGCCTTGGCATCGATAAACTCCTATACTCCTCGATGGTATACGGACGATATACCGGTTTCTTCAACTTGTCCGAGTTGTTATGTTCACATTGCTCTCCTGGAAAGAAGATATTTGAAAGTATTCCTCGATGCGGTATCTCGCAGGATTGTGTAACGTGCGTTGTACGAGTAACGTGACCTTCGATAAAGCGACGATAGAAGCTGAGCTCGCTACTGTCGTCCCTTGAGGTGCCTGGAAGGGATGAACAACCCTCGTCCAGACTGAGCTCCCTGGGCTGGCTGTCACCGCAAATCGACAGGGTGGAATCCTCCGGAGACCGAATGCGCGGACGCCTCGGGATGCCTGAAAACAAAAAAAAAAGAACGGCGAACTTTAACTTTTCATATTAATAGCGCGACACGCGAAATTGCCGAAATTAGCCTTCAGAACGTAACGGCGAACAAACATTGTCAGAGAACGTGAGAAACGGCTGCATGCACCAGATGTTCTGATTTATTTAATTATGAATTATGTTCTACATTCGTCGGTACAAACAAAAGAATGGATTCCATGCAAAAAGGAAAAGTGACGTGAAAAGCGACGACCAGTGACATGAGAAATGACGCTATCAACTTTTCGAGATAGGAACGGCTTTTTGTTGAAGAGAATAATGCTGAAAAGTTCGCACGTCATACCTCTAGATGACAGAATTTTTAAAAGCAAAGATAGTAGGGACACTATCATATGTTTTTGATTGGTGTTTTTAAAATCTTATTTCACTCAAAAAAAGGAGTATTTGGTTGAAAAATGTGCCACATTTGAGTTACATTTTCATAAATATAATACTAAGTTATAATTTTAACTTCAATTAGATAATTTTTTTCTAATCTAGTTTATTTTATTTTATTTGAATTAGAGATAAAAATATATAATATATATAATATAATTAATTTTATTTTCTTAAAGAGAGAGAATATGTATCTCTTGTAAATGAATATTTAATTATTCTTTAATAACACGAATTACTTAATAATTATTTTTAATAATTATTTAAATAATTATTTAATATGACTTTTTTTTTTGCATATTAAACAATGTTATCTTTATAATCGAAGGATAGTCTATGCTAAAGAAACATAACCGGGTAAAGCAATTCCGAGAAGTTCCAAATACTTTACAGGAAACGAATACTTTAATACTCTTTCATAAAAATGTCACTTTTATTCATTGTACAACTTTACTGTATCGTAATATGTAGAAACTGTGGTAGCTATGCCTACATTGTGTCGCAGTAGAATCTCTTTCGCGATGATCCTTTCGCAAAATAAAATTCCATGCTTTACAACGATATATTTCAAATAAAATTCAAACATACGATTTAATATTCCTGATTGTGTCGGCATTAATGTTAATCAAAATTCATGTATACGACAGAGAGAAAGTTTCCAACAAAAATTAACATGAGACTCGCGCGAGATATATAAGAAGCTACTCTTTTCTGAAAAGAGAATCTCGCACATTTGCATTTATAAATCAATATCAATAATTCCTCTGTACATAAAAATAATTCTATTATAAAATTTACTTTATAAAAAAGATAGATCGTCTTTTATACAATGCATTTCTGAAATAATGATTTTAATCTTTATATTCATGAAAATACTCTTGAATTGGTACATTTGTCTCTATGTTTCTCATGCGGAAGAGATGTTGCAGATGATACGAATTCTGTTGGCCTCTCACTTTTGCAATTTAAAAATCTGGCCACTTTAGAAAAGAAAACGACAACGTCAAGTTATCCAGCGAGACTCGTTCGCCGGATTGAGAATCTCCCCTCGTCCCTTCCACCCAGTCTCTCCCATGGCGCGAACACACCCCGCTTCTAATCATGAAAGAAAGTAAACGTCCTCGGGGAAAATTGCATCGTTTCGTGTCGTCCCTTTTTATCGGGACCGCCGACGGCGGTGAGAAGGTGGTGGAGACGGGGTTGGTGGCGCATTTCGGCATTATTCCGCGTGAAGGAGAAGTCTCATTTGATTAAGGACTAACCGAATCTACGACGATAAAGCTCCGAATACGAGGTCCAACCAGGCCTAGCCGGTTCTGGTCGACTCCACGGTGCGAATACGTTACCAAGCTTTTTGTCGACCTTCGCGTTGCTCCCGCTGCTGCGCAGGTTACATTTTGACGAAGAATTTTGCACCTCCGGGGAACATCGCTCCGTCGACGTATGACAACAACGACGATTCGCGTCGCCTTCTTCCTTTTCACATTTTCCAACGACATCGTCCCCCTTTCTTATACGAAGCCGCGATTCGTTCCACGTCGAGCTGCTCTCCTGTCGTCGTTGGACGAATCTTCTTCCGCTCGCAGTTATCGAATTTCTGCCGCCGTTTATTTTCGCGCACCTGTCCCCACGTACGGTCCCATTGGGCTCTGTCGTATTGTCTAAAGTGTTGTCAGAACACGAGATTAGATGTATGTATATATATATATAAAATAATATTTTCTATATGTCGAAGCTGCATTTACATAAAATCTAAATAAGTCCGTATTTTTTTATAGCTAGTAAACACTCTTTTTGACATTTTATAGTGATGTAATATGTAATGTGCATTCGTATAATTTTCTATTTGTCAGTATCTATTAATATCTACATTTACATTATATTATACATTACTTGCATCCAAATATCGTCTATTTATGCGACAGAAACATATGTAGTATGGCCTGTTCTGCTAACGTTTAATATTGATTTATCGCTTAAAGTTTCTAACATTTTCTTCCGGAACATAATAAAATCACTTTTATTTTATCCATTTTTCCTGCTAAGATCGATAAGCGGATTTCCTTGCCATTCGTGTTACATTCCTGCGCTCTGCCTTATTCCGTCTAACTTTGCTCGTCGCTTTAATTATTCCGCGGAGTTTTACATTACCGCGAACGAGTCTCGACCAGAGATATTACGTTTTACATTATATAATTAGTACTGTCGTTAACGAGGCGATCGATCGCCTTCAGTTCTGCGCTCGCTTCGGTTCCGTGCTCTCAAACTACCGTCGAACTTTCGATCGACTTCCCCACGACCGCCGGTAAGTCAACGCTACTATGCGCCAATCATTAATTAATTAGCGCGCGATATCCGGGAACTCGTTTGTTCGTCCGCAAAAGCCGCGGCTTCCTGGGTTACGAGAAATCGAATTGCATTACGCAGAGCATTGCTTCATCATTTTTCAGCGCCATTGTCTTTTTATTATTTGTAATACACACACACACGCACACACACACACGCACACACACACACACACACACACACACACACACACACACACACACACACACACACACACACACACACACACACACACACACACACACACACACACACACACACACACACACACACACACACACACACACACACACACACACACACACACACACACACACACACACACACACACACACACACACACACACACACACACACACACACACACACACACACACACACACACACACACACACACACACACACACACACACACACACACACACACACACACACACACACACACACACACACACACACACACACACACACACACACACACACACACACACACACACACACACACACACACACACACACACACACACACACACACACACACATACGAACGCGCGCAATTATCTCCCGCTAATGAGAAGAAAAAAAGGATATTTCCCATACAATATGGGAATATAAAATTTTAATTCCGGAGTATCACTTTTCGGAAATTTTAAAGAGATAAAGAGATTTGATTTCAATTAAAAATCTCACACTATTGCGCTTGTTGCATTATACATCGTAAGTTCTTTCTATTTTTAATTTATGACGATTAATTTGGCGTGTATAATTTTATAAAAATATCACAAGAACAAAACGGAAAGTTCTTTGTCAAAAAAATACGTTGATATACTTTATTATATTACATAGCTATTCTTAAAATCCTTCTTTCACGAACTCGAGTCTGCAAAACTTATTTTACGTCTTTCGTACCTTTTATTCCGTGCAATGTCGTTAATATTGGATTTAAATGAAGTGAAGTGTCCTTGACAAATTTATCAACGGATTTGATTGCTTCGAGGTTATTATCATTATCACTATTATTATTCATCAAATCACTCTTTTCCAATGAATCTTCCTCAATACTCTCCAGAGAATCCAAAGAATATTTCGACATTACTGCGAAATTTTCATTTGGCACGAAAAAGAAATTAATAAACACATTGCATAACGTGTATGATATTGATAGTAATCTTAATTGATTTCTACTTTTCGTGTAGCAAACTTCGCACTTTCTTTTACCCATGAAACGTAGAACATACAGTAAATCGTGCAAAATACGTGGTAATTTTAAAAGAACTTCTATACAGAGTAAATTGAAATGGCTATATCAAATTTAATTTTCTTTAATTTAATTTAATTTTTTTTTTATTAAGCTTTTGAACGACATTTAAAAAATATTTAGAGGAAGATTATTTGTTCTAATGGTTTTAATTAATAGTATTATATACATAAAACACAAAAGTGTTAATATATTTAATAATTAAATATTTAATATCTTTTTACATATATATAAAGATTTATATCGAAATATCGGCGTTATCCTCCTATTTTATATTCTCCGTGTCACAACAATCATAAATATTTTATTTGAAATGTATTAGAAATCAGTTAATTTTTTAATTATCTAATTTGTTAATTACAAATTTAAGCTCGTTATGCAATAGTACCATATTTCCTAAACAAAATATATTCATCATATAATGTCATCTTTATGAATTATACACAGAAACAAATTATGAGAATATATATAATCGGTAAAATAAATACTTCAACTTTAATAATGATTAAATACGAAATTCCAAACTAGCTTTGCGTAAAACACATGTTCTACTAATTATCATTATGAATTATCATTATCTATATTTCACAAACTATTTTAGTAACTGTTGGCTATATACCAGCTGCTAATATAGAAGACCGTTGATATCTTATCACTTGTTGCTAAATTTAACACCTTTCTTCTCTCGAATCATCACGCTTTCTTTTTTTTTAATGTAGATATCTTTTTATCCAATATTTGTATTTAATATATTGGACAATTTGATATAATGCATAATCATATAAAATTGTAATGTAAATATCATATAAAAAATATCTTAAATAAATTATCGCATTTCCAAATATCGGAAAAAAATATAGAATTTGTTCTTGCACGCGTTCTTACAATCTCGTAAAATCCAAATCTATCAAAATTATTATGGTTTTAATTAATGATATAGAATAGCCTCTAGTATAATAGCCGATTATGCATTATTTAGAATGACTAACAGGAAGAAATGTCCAATTGCCAATGAATGGTAAACAAAAATAAACATTAAAAGAGCGCGGTTACATCATCCGCGCTTAAGCGTATTCATTATATAACGTTTCTTATATAAAAAAAGTTCAATCAGCCTCGTTATCAAGTTGTTTATAATGAATGTATACAGTAAGAAATAGAGAAAGACAGTTTTCATCAAGAGCGCTTTGCTGCGGGAGCAACACTGCTACATAAATCACAGACTTTGTCGTTCTTAAGCGAGATATCAAACATAGCAGGTACCTATTATAAGCTAATGTATCATCACATAAAGCTCTATCATATACATATATGTATGTATATTAGAACTACATACTAAAGTGGCGTTTCAAAGCGATGTCGCAATATGGCTCAACAGTGTGTCGCTTGATCTTAGCATCGTCGGAGGAATGCTTCGTTACTGTTCGACATGGGTGAATCTAGTACTTATCGCATTGATTCATAAGGGCATAATACTCGATAAAATATATTTCGACAAATATTAAACAACAATTTTTGAAATGCACAATATGTTGCCAATAATCATTTTGGACCGCATCTCTGTGTCTGTTTCAAAACTTAGCGCGTCATTGCAGATTGGTTATCGGTTTCGGTTATCGGTATTTTTATGTGTAATATAAAATAATTAATTCTAATAAAAATATACTTTATGTGTCTATGTACTCTTTTTACATATATATATAAATATAAAACTTTATACTAAATTTAAATTTTATTTATTAAATAATAATAAGCGTGCATGTTTGTATGCGTATATGTGTGTGATTACTAAGCGGTTATTCTTGTCCCTTATCAAAATGAGAAAATCCAGAAATATCAAGCGCAATGGAAACTTTTACGAAAAGATGATTCGATATGCTATTTAATGCGATAAGCTGATATTACCACGAGTTTGTGTATATATATATATATATATATATATATATATATATATATATATATATATACACAGTTTTTTTATTTTATCGGTTTCGTATTAAGTGAATTAACATATCGAAAAATTCGATTAATTTGTGCAATTAAATTTTCGTGCGATTGAAGCAAAAAGACTTAATTATGATACGTTTGGAATAAATTATACTTAATTACAGTGCAGTTGTTACGACTCACACTTTTAATTAAATTAATAATCTAATTATGATGAAAGTTTCAAAACGGTATATATAAATTCTTAGCAAGCGTCGATTCGTGCCTTTAGCCGAACGATGTTATAACATTCAGTTGTTAACGTGATACTAGTAAATTTTTTTCTGACATTGTAAGTATAATGATTTCATCATATTTACAATACACGTATCATACTAAAAATTCAATTTTTTGGCAATTTTAGATTATTTGATTTATCGATAATATCATTATTGTAATAAAAATCTATAAATTTGATGTTTCAAGATAGTAATTTAAAGAGTCATCTCAGAAAGACTCATCCATTTTGATTAGGTGAGAAAAAAACAATGTTAAAATATTTTAACAATAATCGTTAAATGATGTATTGATATCGAGACAAGCAAATATCACAATTTTAATCTCCGCGATTTTTTTCGGACTTATCGAGGATTACGGCACAGATACTTGATTAATAATTGAAAATGCAGTTATCAGATTTTTTATGATAGATATATCTATTATACAATATATAAATACCGCTTACAATTTTGGCTTGATATCACTTTTTGATTGTCTATCGACGCATAGTAAGTGATTTTTCTTTCGCTTGATCTGTTTTATTCTCGATTGTTCTCAATTCATTCTATATCTTTTATATAAACTTTATCATATCTGCAAGTAGTAATTAATAATTAGTATGATTAGTATAATTAGTAAAAAATTGATCAAATGAGATACACTTAGAAACTCTATTTAATATTTTGCTCAAATTTTATTACCGGATTTGTTACAAATTAATTTTTATACGTTTGGATTCATCATCTTTCTCCTTTTTTATATATATAAGCTGCATATATGGCAATGTAAAAAATATATAGGAATCTATACATGAAAATAAAACTAAAGTACATCTCTGCACATATTTTATACATTTTATTCAGATTTATCCCGATTCGCATTATATCAGCAATTGTCAAACATTAAATTATTAAGAGAGTACATTTGAAACGATGATTATCCCTATATGCTTACTGATATATTATTGGTAACGTCAATAACTAATAACTAATCAACACATAAGTGTATTAATTGAATCAAAAGCGTTTATTATTCATGAACCAAGTGTGCATACTTCCGTTAATTAAATAAATAAATAAATGAATAATTACGATTAAATGTAAACATTCTATTATTGAATCATGGTGTAAGCAGCTTTGAAAAATTCTGTTTTATCTCTCTCTCTTTCTGCATTTTTAACAGTAATTAAAAATATTAAATTAAAAATTTATAAAATTTGTAATAATAAGATATATGTGTGTATGTATTGCTGTATGGATTTTGCATTTTGTAAAATTTTTACATATCATTCATTTTTTATTTTAAATATTTTTTAAAAGAAAATGTAAAATATAAATTAATATGTATTTTATATATATTGTGTGTTTTTATTTCTCTAATATATATAATAATAATTTATATTGGAAGGTATATACCTTCCTATTGAATAGTATATAACTTCCACGTGGAAGCTATATACCATTTCGTGATGCGAAATCGCGAAATATGCGGGAAGAAAACAACTGTTACAACATTATTTAATTTACTAGAGTACATTATTCTGTTCTGTTAAAAATTATTATTTTATAAATAGCCTTGCTTTCTCTGTAACAAAAATTCTAACTTTGCTTCATTTTCGTCTTTTTCAGACATCATCTTTCGATACTGTACAGGGAAAATGGTATATATTAATGTCGCCGTTTGCCTGTCAATTCTTCTGTTTGTGATCGGATTAACCGTAGGATTTAGCGTGAATATCTTTAAAGGTCGGGACGCTCTCGATTCGGCGCCTCTTATTGATGGGTAATTCAATCATATAATTGGGAAATGTGCGTATAAGAAAATGAATGACTTCGACCTATTTTTATTCCATCGATATCATTTAAAAACAACATTAATTGCTAACGAATAATCTCCAAACTGATAGTTACGTTAATCAAATATCAATTAGATTGAAGATATACAAATTAAATTTTATCAGATCTTTTGTGCTAATATTTTCTTACATATTCCAAACACAAATTTTAAAAATAATATCAAGATTTCTTGTAAAATATGAATCAAACGAACAATCAATAAGGTCAATTTTATTTCGCGTTCTTATCGCATCTGCATCCTGTCTTTTCCTTTTTGATTAATTAAATGTATTTATCTCTAACCATTATGTTTGTAGCCATAACGATTTACCGTACAATTTATATCAAATCTTGAACAATAACTTGTCAGCCTTCCATTTCGAAAGAGATCTAAGAAATGACAGCGTCTGGGGAAGTAACGCTTGTTCCTCGTGTTTCACTGATCTGCCTCGCTTAAATGCAGGAAAAGTGGGTGGACAAGTAAGTCAATAACATTTCGCATATAAGATCACACAAAAGATTAATTATCTTTAGAAATTCCGCAGCCTATTTATTCTACAATTAATAGATCAGCTATTTCATCTTGAACGCATTGCCACATTCTACAAGAAATTATTTGTCCCATTATTATTTTATTTCTCTTTGTCTGTTATTTTACTTTTTACTGCATACCTCATATAAAAAGATCGTTATCTTTTAAAAAAATTCACTCTATCACAAGACTTTCCACAGAGAAGCTTATCTTATTTGTTTTTTTACGCAATAACGCAATTTTCAGTTCTGGGTGGCATACATGCCGTGTGAATCGCAATACAAGGATGCTGTACAGTTAACATTGCGGCAGATCGATGTAATCAGGCGATTTATTCAGCGATATCCGACCAACTTGCAACTAGTCACAGACGCGAAAGACATTGAGACCACGTGGAGGAATGGCAAAATAGCATCTATGATAGCCGTCGAGGGCGGTCACTCGCTAGACTCGAGTTTAGCTATCTTGAGACTCTACTATGATCTCGGTGTTCGTTACGTTACCCTGACACACACCTGCAATACACCGTGGTACGTCACCATAAGCGTTGCAAACCGAGCTCAATGAAATCTTTCGCTCGTTTATCACAATTAAATCTCTATTTACATCTCTATTAAGCACAAAATTCCCGTATTCAAGATATGAACTGCGAGATATGGTATTAAATTTCAGTCACATTGTACATATGAATTTTACAAATTCTTATCTCTCTTGATAATTATCTCTCGATAACGCAAATTTTGATATTATTTATAAGTACAATAATTTTGTTTAATTTCCTGAATTATAGAGAAACACAAAAATACTTTCTCTTGTATCTTTAAGTATAACGAGAGAATTGATGATAAATTTTATTTTTATTTCTACAGGGCCGATGCATCGATTGTGGATGACAGATATGTATACAATCTGACAGAATTCGGACAAGTATGTGAAAAAATTATTGAAATTATTGTTATTATCTTTTTAATACAATATTTTGATTATTGTTTTATATATCTTATATGATGGAAAAACCTGAATCGTTTCAAGCGTTTGGTATATCTTTATGAGATTATGGCAGTGATTTATCAATAATACGAGACGGTCCCCACAATAGCTGAGAGGCATGACAAATTGATAAGATTGATATGATATACCGAAACTTGATCAAGTGAAAACGCGTGATAATTAATTAAATTTAAAGAGCTAAAACATTAATGCCTTCTTACATAACTATAATGTGCATTAAAAAATAATCTTCGAAAACTCTCTCTATACAATTAACATCTATTAATTGCATATTGTATGAAAAGCTATTTATCGATCGTTCTAAACTAGTTTGATACGATCATCAATTTTTAGTTTTAAATAAAAATTAAAAATTCCAAACGGTGCCAATTTCTCCTAAAAAAACAATGGTATATTTTACAAATTATAGATAGTGGTTTACGAGATGAATCGAATTGGAATGTTGGTCGATTTATCTCATGTCTCTCACAATGTTATGAGAGAAGTGCTCGCAATAACAAGAGCTCCCGTCATATTCTCGCATTCGTCCGCTTTCAGTATTTGCAGACACTACAGGAACGTTCCCGATGATGTCCTGCACCTAGTCGTAAGTATATATAAAAAAAAATTGTTCTTTTAAAAAGATGCAGAAGTTTCAAAAGCACTCTTCTTTTCTTTCAGAAAAAGAATAATGGTATCGTTATGGTGAATTTCTATAGCAGTTTCGTAAATTGTAATTCTTCCAGAAACGCGATGATGCAAGATGTCGTAGGTAATGTATTCAATTACGCATTCAATTAAACTACACAGTATGTGATTTAGTACTATAATCTTAAAATTTATCGTCAATAACGTTTACAAAGATCTTGTAAACTTTACACGGGAATCTCAAAAAGTTAAAAATAATAGCACATATGAAATAATATATATAAAAAGATTTTCATTCTCCCCATTTTCATTTCCCCCCTCTCTCTCTCTCTCTCTCCACAAAAATGTTGTTTCTAGCATTATGTACCTTTTTTTAAATTTTTATTCTGACAATCTGACAATATCCAATAATGTATCCGACATATGTATCCTCAGTTAATTCTTGTACACGTGAATTTTTATTTTCTATTGAGACGATCAAATATATGTATTGACCTTTTTAGATCATATAAATCACATTCGAAATCTTATCGGAGTGGACGAGAAACACAAAAATACTTTCTCTTGTATCTTTAAGTATAACGAGAGAATTGATGATAAATTTTATTTTTATTTCTACAGGGCCGATGCATCGATTGTGGATGACAGATACGTATACAATCTGACAGAATTCGGACAAGTATGTGAAAAAATTATTGAAATTATTGTTATTATCTTTTTAATACAATATTTTGATTATTGTTTTATATATCTTATATGATGGAAAAACCTGAATCGTTTCAAGCGTTTGGTATATCTTTATGAGATTATGGCAGTGATTTATCAATAATACGAGACGGTCCCCACAATAGCTGAGAGGCATGACAAATTGATAAGATTGATATGATATACCGAAACTTGATCAAGTGAAAACGCGTGATAATTAATTAAATTTAAAGAGCTAAAACATTAATGCCTTCTTACATAACTATAATGTGCATTAAAAAATAATCTTCGAAAACTCTCTCCATACAATTAACATCTATTAATTGCATATTGTATGAAAAGCTATTTATCGATCGTTCTAAACTAGTTTGATACGATCATCAATTTTTAGTTTTAAATAAAAATTAAAAATTCCAAACGGTGCCAATTTCTCCTAAAAAAACAATGGTATATTTTACAAATTATAGATAGTGGTTTACGAGATGAATCGAATTGGAATGTTGGTCGATTTATCTCATGTCTCTCACAATGTTATGAGAGAAGTGCTCGCAATAACAAGAGCTCCCGTCATATTCTCGCATTCGTCCGCTTTCAGTATTTGCAGACACTACAGGAACGTTCCCGATGATGTCCTGCACCTAGTCGTAAGTATATATAAAAAAAAATTGTTCTTTTAAAAAGATGCAGAAGTTTCAAAAGCACTCTTCTTTTCTTTCAGAAAAAGAATAATGGTATCGTTATGGTGAATTTCTATAGCAGTTTCGTAAATTGTAATTCTTCCAGAAACGCGATGATGCAAGATGTCGTAGGTAATGTATTCAATTACGCATTCAATTAAACTACACAGTATGTGATTTAGTACTATAATCTTAAAATTTATCGTCAATTACGTTTACAAAGATCTTGTAAACTTTACACGGGAATCTCAAAAAGTTAAAAATAATAGCACATATGAAATAATATATATAAAAAGATTTTCATTCTCCCCATTTTCATTTCCCCCCTCTCTCTCTCTCTCTCTCTCCACAAAAATGTTGTTTCTAGCATTATGTACCTTTTTTTAAATTTTTATTCTGACAATCTGACAATATCCAATAATGTATCCGACATATGTATCCTCAGTTAATTCTTGTACACGTGAATTTTTATTTTCTATTGAGACGATCAAATATATGTATTGACCTTTTTAGATCATATAAATCACATTCGAAATCTTATCGGAGTGGACCATGTTGGTATCGGCGGAGATTATGATGGTGTAACGTCGTGAGTAATTGTTTTAATACTAATAACACAAATATTACGAATAATATTAATTATTATAATAAATGCAAGTGAAATATGTTTAATAAAATCGATTAGAATGCCGATAGGCTTGGAAGATGTCTCGAAGTATCCCGATCTGTTTGATCGTTTATATGAGAATCGAGAAGGAGAACCAACATGGACCAGAGAGGATTTAGAAAAATTAGCTGGAAGAAACTTTATTCGCGTTTTCCAAGCAGTAGAAGCGGTAAATACAAAAATTACATACAACATATAACGCATTCACGAGTAATAAGAATATGACACCTTTTATCTTATTTTTCTTTAATTTGTCTTTATTAATCTTGTTTTATTAATGTTTTTTGAAAAGGTACGAGACTCTTTATCGTCCGAAGCACCTCGAGAAGATATTATAATGGGAAATGAATTATATACTGCACAAAAGAGAGAAGGACTTAATCCAGGCGCATGTCAAACTGCAAAGGAGTAAATATTATTTCATGAGAATTATAATATATATAAATATATTAATTTAATTTATCGCGGAAAAAGAACAATAGTTTTCCTAATATTCTACATTTTCTAAGTATTCTTTTCCTTTCATGTTAGATGGAGTAATGTAAATGTAACATCAGATGCAGAAGAGAAGACTTCAGGACTGAATCTATATCCAAGAATAGGATGAAAACTATTAGGAATGGAATACTATCATTCAGTGTGGATTCAAGTGGAAGGATGTTAAAGTAAATATAAATGTGAAAGCATGTTAAACAATATGTGATATTTCATTAAGACGCAATTAATATTAATATTAAAGAGCAAAATGTAAAAATATTATGGCAATATTATTTATTTTATTTCTATTTATATTATTTAACTCTCTAAAGATAAAAGATATTTTAAAATGTTTTCTCAAATGGAACATAAAGATAAGGTATCATTTTAGAAGATCTAAAATATTATTAGTTTTGGCAATTTTTATAATTCTTGTTGAATTACAAATCTGAGAGAATTAATATGTTCACGATACTATATAAATGTATAGTAAATTATTTGTTAATTATAATAAACAAAATTTGCGGAAGAGAAACACACATCTGATACAATATCATTCATACGTATATTATATAAATTAAGATGTGTTTATTCTCTATACTTGAAGAAGATATCTCTCTTTTAATATTATCTTTTTTAAATATTAATATAGTAGCATTTTATCACGTAAAATATGAATGAGATATGATCGATTAAATTTACCGGGAATCGGGAATTTACCGATAAAGATTAATAAATGATATCACCTTACACACAATTTTCTAAGGCAATCACATTTTCTAATTTTATTAAATTTATATAATTACAGTAATACTTTAACATAATCAAAAAATTATACAGTTTCTAGTATTTACTAATTTATAACAATACCTAAGTAATAAATAATATATTCTTCTTTATTTTAATAAAATGCTTTTTTACTTTTTTCTGAGAATATTCCATATTATTTTTTTATAAAAGTATATTCATATTATCTCATATTTTTTTTTTTATAAAGGTATATTTAAATCTTGGAATAAAAAATAAAAAACAGCATTATTATATTAAAAGACTCATTACATATATTAATAATTTATATTATTTATTACCACTAAAAATCGTGGGATATGATTACTAATATATATGTATTTTTATAATATATTTATAATATTGAAAAAAGATTAGATAACTATTATATACAAAGCGTTTAAAAAAATTTATTTCAATCAACAATAAACAAAAATTTATATTATTCTAATTTTCTTTTACTACTTATTGATTCAGAGTTATTGTCAACGGCTTTCAATATAACCCGTTTTTTCTACTGACTCGGACCATTCTATAAATTTCATAAGTCTTTGCATCAATTTGATCTCCGTCGTTAAATTTTCCCTGAAAATTTAACTATTTTATTAAATCGTAAAATAAAATGAGACTGAATTGTATGACTATATTAATACGAGGTATTTTAGAGATAACTCATAAATTTAGAAACATCTTATTCCAAGTAAAATCTTCATATTATGCATATCCATACTAACTATAAAATAATATCCATAAGACGACGCATTTGAAAAATATCAATCAATTTACACTAACCATTGACTTTTCCTAATAATCGGTATAACAGTTGGGATTGGAAATCCATTGAACGTTGTGCATAAAGATAAAGAATAAGCACCCATATCTTCCCAGATTAACCAATTACCAAGGCAAAGTTCCGGCAATAACACATCTTGAACAATGACATCGAACGAATCGCAAGTCGGTCCCCATAAAGTCGAAAGAAATTTTTCGTTGCTCACCGACTAAATCGCGGTAATAAATTAATTACATAATTTTATACAGCCATATATAAAAAATACAACATAAATATATATAATATAATATAATAAGAAGAAAAATTTAATTACTTCGAAGAGGATTTGCGGAACTCTGGATTTCAAACCCAACAATTCTTCGATGAACGAACTATATGTACCGATGTTAATGTAATACATTCTCGTAATTTTACCGTTTTTACAAGAGAGTTTTTTAGAATGTAAATACGTGGCTAGAGTAAACGCCGAAGTAACGTAGTATCTTCCAGGCTCGCTAATAATTCTTATACTAGGATCAAGATCTTGGATTGCATCATTAATCAGATTGGCGAGCTAAAAAGTTTCGAAAAATTAATCAAAGACATTTTACTATATAAATTGTATATAACGTGAAACGAATAAAAAAACGCATAAACATACAAAAAGAACATACTTTGTCAATATTTGTTCCTTTTTCGCCAGGGAAACCACCACCGATATCAATCAATTGTACATCTTTGCAGCCCATAGTTTTAGCGATTGTGATTAATCGTCTGCACTTATCGATACCCCTACTAAATGCGTTTAACTCTCCGCATGGGCTACCGACGTGAAAACTAAAGCCGTGTAAAGTCAGACCGAGATCCATCGTGAGTCGTATCAATCGCACAGCTTCCTCCTCTGATTCGCAACCGAATTTCAATCCGAGATTGCATTCTGAGTTATTCGCGTCGCATTGTATGCGTATGATTATTCTGTCAGATTATTGGGAAAAATTACTGTATCATACAGAAGTATCAATATAAACAAAACATGCAAACGATGTTATCATAGCTATACAATGACGAATAATATCGCACAGTGATCTTTTATAATACACTCACTTGGCCTCAGGATAAAGATCTTTAATCTTCAAAAGCTCTAATTCGCTGTCGGCCGTCAGTTGGTTAATGTCCAACTTCTTGGCGTATTTGATATGAGACGGACATTTGTACGGATTAGCGAATATAATACGATTAGCTTGCACACTGTATTGCATTACTTGACTGATTTCTTGCTGTTATGATATATGTTAAAAGTAAGCTAGCTTATAAAAAAGTAAATTTGCTTATACAATAATTTATAAAATTAATAAATTTCATGTAAATATTAAAGAAAAAATTACAAAAATATTATTATTTAAAGAAGAAGATTTGTAGAAAATAATTATTTATTTATTTAATTTAAAATATAACAAAGTATCTTCTTAATTAGAAAAGATAATAAAGATCTTTTTCAAATTTAATGTGATAAAGAGAATATATAAGATCGCAGTAAAAGTCGTAATAATTTACCTCGGATGCACAATCAAAGCCAGCATTTAAAGCTGCCAATATTTTTATTACTGTCGGATCAGGATTGCATTTAACCGCTGAAATCAATTAAAAAATACATTTCTTCTTTCAGTATAAATTTGAATAAAAAAAATTTAAACGATTAAATTTATCGAGCCGATTTATCGAGTCGAATATATATCCACATTGTCAAACCGAACCTCGAATCGATCTTCAAACGATCGCATGTTCACATTTGTCGAGCACATTTCAGTAATTTGATTTGCAATATCTTATTAGAAGTCGATATTTCGATAGCAAAAGATTCTTTTTTTTTATGCTTATATATTAACTGTGTCTGAAGGACACTGAAGGAAGAAAACTAGCTTGACTGCTTATAAGCATTCCGAGATATTCTGATAAGCATTGTTTTGATAACGATTGTATTCATTTTTACGTTTGCTCAGCGATAAGATTCTTTGAAATTACTGCAAGTGTTTAATAATAAAATCACTTTTTATGATAATACAAATCATAAAAAAGTTTCACATCACACCTTTCAAGATTTTCATTTGAAATGCATTGTAATCACATGAAACAATAAAAAGAAATACTGATAAAAAATACAGCAAATAATGAAAACTCACTCAAGATTACTCTGCCGGCGCCTCAGGGAAGCGGGAGTCTCTTTCAAACTTCCTTTTCTCAGATTGTCAGGATCCTCAGTATGTTGATCTGTAATATATAAATTAAATTTAAAAAAATTGTAGCGACGCCCTAAATAATTAAAATTGTTTAAAAATATTATTGTATGCATTGAATTTTATATTCCATGCGTACAATAATAAACAGCAACATAATTAAATAATTTTATTTTCAAAACTCGTTTCGCGATGTTAGGTAGTACCGACGTAAAAATTACGAATATTACGAATTTAAATGCAAGCTTGTATATATTAGTAATTGTCAGAAAATTACTTTAAATTCGTTTGGGTCAATTTTAATATTTGTCTATAATTTCCCAAAATCCATTATCTAATTAAAATAACAAATAGTTCAAACTCACCGGTGTTATACGCAGCGACAGAGTTACACAGTGTAGTATGTACACAGTATTGATCTGTAAAATACACAAACATATCTATTTAATATCTCAAAAAATAATTATTGTACGCTTTAAAATTTTCCTTTTATAAGATATTTTACAAATAATAATAAATAAATAATAAATGATTTACCTTATGGTTACTCCGCCGTTGCTTGATGCCGCCACGGATCTCCTCTAACTCTCTTATTTCACCTTCGCTCCTTCGTGTGGCACTTACTAGCAAAAACAATTATTTACAATTAAGTATGCACTCGCAAAGCAATTAATTACGATTACGCACGCCCTAATCACATCCGAATATAGTTAATGAGCGTGCAGCACTTTGCACAGCATTTCCGACTTTAATGATGGGCGACGCGCACTTGATTATGGCGGGAAAATAACGCGGGAAAAGTGCCCGAAGCTCACGGCATCTCACAACCGCTCGCGATGTCCCTAGCCGATGTAACTAACTTCACATATATGCGTACAGCAAAGATTTTAACAAATCATCGATGCTCACACAAACGCTGTATTTATATGTACGCGGTCGAAAATTCTTGAAATATGATTTTAATAGATAGCAATTATTGTAAATATATGTGTATCATGAGACAATGCATGATTTATATATAAATTCCTATCGCGTTGATACCTACTCAAGTCGATGAAGCGCGCGTAATATTTTCTTCGACAAACAGCCATCACCGCGATACGTTTAATCAAACTAATATAAACAATTGCGCAGGTTGATATTCACTAATTAAAATATAACTTTGGACACCACGATCGTGTTCGACGAGTATTTTTCGCGATCGCGTCTCGAAAACTAATGCGACACCGCGCCACGCCGTTGACTTAATAAGATATTCTGCAATTAATTCCTAAGCAAACTTTCGATTAGAATGACACTAAACGCAGTATAAACTCTATTATAAATGTATGGATAAGTGTAAACTAGTCTTTAAAGGTATAAATACTCGAAAGACGAATAGAATAAAAATATCCATAATGGCCGATTATCTGATCCGAAAAAGTCGCTCGATCTTTTTATTCTTAAAATTCCAATCTAATATGCCATAAAACTATTAAATATTCTCACAATTTATTCAAAAAAACAATGCTATTGCGAATGATCGTATCTATTTGGCTCGATTATCTCTTTGTCGGCTTACCTGTGCGGATATTGTCGAAGCCCGCAATCTTTACGCCTGTACGATGCGTCGTATCATCTTGAACTAATCGGCATGAAAGGCGCCAGCGAAATTTTTCATATCAGCCAATCAAGTCGAGAGGGCGCGCGAAATCTACCGAAAATCACCGAGCAGTTTCGAACAATTTAGCGCGAGGATTCAAAATCGTTTGAAGTCATTATGCAAATAGACGTAATACGAGAGGTCGAAAATATAACATTTTCCCTTGAAAATTATGTGAAAATGGATATTTGACAGGTTAATACGCTTTCGAATTTTAGCGACATCTCTAACTATATTCTTTTGTGATATAAAAATTATACTTTTTACATGTATAAAAAAGAGGGATCACATTTCTCTCCATCTACACAATTTAAATCTAAAGATGAGCAATCAATAATATTAATCGATATTTATAGGCAAGGTGTTACATAAAAGGATTTTTATTATTTGAAAAAAAATTACACGTATACGCAATTGTACATAGCAATACGCACATAATTCGCGCTTTTGTGAACGCAAAAAATCGCTATCACGCCATCTGCCAGCGAATTGGGTCATTATTATTGTCAGTTGTCAGTACGTATCAGTGATTCATGGAGTCGCGTGGAGTTGCGAGATATATTTTGAGCGAACTTCTACATTGCTAAAAAATTCACATTATGCTGTAATTATACGTGCTATCCTGAGAACGGTATCCGAGCTCGAGCTTCGAAAACGCAAACATCGGCGTCGACGCGTCAACGCTACACGAGAAAGCCTTAGAAACGTGCGGCGCACCAAATTGCCAGTGTGTCCGGCAGCAAAATGGCAGCGAGTGACTCTACTACGGACGACAGCCTTTACCCGATTGCGGTTCTGATCGACGAGCTAAAAAATGAGGACGTCCAGGTAATTGTTGTTTACGATGATTATGAAGAGTGAATTTTCTATTTCCTCCTCTTCTTCCGAAATGTTCGTTTCCCCGTCATCTGATCTCTAAACAAAGCGTTGCCGACATAGCGATATATACTCTGGAAAGAAAAGCTAGTAATATCCTTCATGGAGTTTATGCACGATATATAACGATCTTAAAGATAATACGTATAATATAGAATTGAAAACGCGTTGGTGTGATTGTTTAAAAGAGAAAAGCCTGATTAAAACTTTTTAGACGTTTAGAGTACAAAACAATTTTTATTGCTATTCCTACATATGTTGATATACATTATAAGCATTCTGATAAGTTATTTTTTTCATTATAGCTACGTCTCAATTCTATCAAGAAGCTATCAACAATTGCACTTGCATTAGGTATTGAACGAACACGGAGTGAGCTAATACCATTTTTAACGGAGACTATTTATGATGAAGATGAAGTCCTTCTTGCATTGGCTGAGCAACTCGGCACATTTACTCCTCTCGTTGGTGGACCAGAATATGTGCATTGTTTATTGGTAATAGCAATAGATTTTTTTGAACAGTGTTTAACATAAGTCCCAGATTCATTTCAGTAATTTGTCTTGTCTGTTCTATCAAAGAAATATAAATTATAAATTTTTAATGTAGCCACCATTAGAATCTCTGGCCACTGTCGAAGAAACTGTGGTTCGTGATAAAGCAGTGGAATCTTTAAGAAATATTGTAAGCCAACACAGTCCTGCAGATTTGGAAGAACATTTTGTTCCTTTGGTACAGCGCTTAGCTTCAGGAGACTGGTTTACGTCAAGAACATCAGCATGTGGATTATTCAGTGTTTGCTATCCAAGAGTGAGTCCAGTCATTAAAGGTAATTGTACAATAATTTTATCTCTTGCGAATCCATGCTGGATAAGTTTTTAATACAGAATAAATATGAAAACATGTTGAAAACTTGAATGTTATAGCGGAATTGCGAAATCACTTTCGCAGCTTGTGCCAGGATGATACACCCATGGCACGACGATCAGCTGCTTCTAAATTAGGTGAATTTGCAAAAGTTGTGGAAATCGAATATCTTAAATCAGATTTAATTCCTATGTTTGTTATCCTCGCTCAGGATGAACAAGTAAGTTCATTAAAACTATGAAATTTCACAATTCTTTTCATGTTGATTATCATACTTGCACTAACAATTTTACAGGATTCAGTTCGTCTTTTGGTTGTTGAAGCTTGTGTTAGTATTGCAGCATTGTTGAGGATTCTAAATGGCGTGTGCGACTAGCTATTATTGAGTAATTATATATGTTAATTTACCTAATTTATACTATTGGAGTTCAAAGAAAAGAATAAGATAGCAATATACTTTACTACTGATTTGGCATTTTAGGTATATGCCATTGTTAGCTGGACAGCTTGGAGTAGAATTTTTTGACGAGAAATTAAATTCTTTATGTATGACTTGGTTGGTGGACCATGTTTACGCAATTCGGGAAGCAGCTACTTTAAATCTGAAAAAACTGGTAGAAAAGTTTGGTCCCGAATGGGCACAGAATACAGTAATACCCAAAGTCTTGGCTATGTCTAGGGATCAGAACTATCTTCACAGAATGACATGCTTGTTCTGCATTAATGTAAGCTTATTGCGTTATACGGCTTTGAAACGGAGATTGTAATAGTAACATGTATTCAAAAAAGAAAAAATCAATTTATACAATTTTTATAATAGGTTCTAGCTGAAGTGTGTGGTCCAGAGATAACAACAAAGGTAATGCTTCCAACAGTATTGACAATGGCTACTGATAACGTTGCAAATGTAAGATTTAATGTCGCTAAAATATAAATTCTAATTAGTAGATTATATTAAATAAATCATATAAATCATATTTTTCTTAAGTTATGTTGTATTTGTATACCTATTATTACATTAATGAGTACAATATACAATTTAATTTGTAATATGTATTTCTCATACATACTTGAGTGTTTAAAAAAATAATATAATACAATAATAAAAAAACATCTCTCCGAATCATTCCTACAATAAAATACCTATTCACAAACTGTTGTACTTCTGCTTTTGCTAATCTTAGAAAACGTTTTAATACTTAGTATTTTAATTTTTCAAACATTTATTATATATATTAAGAAGAGACAAGAGAGAGAGAGAGAAAATGAGTTTTTGTTACAATTTATTTTATTATATAACCATTAATATAGATATCTTACATTATACGATATTATCACAGCTTATTACTATTATTGTGTTTTATAAGTTTCTGATACATATATTTATTAAATTTGATAATTGTGAATGTAAGATACACCGGTATTATGAGAACAATATATTTATCATATAATATGATATTCAACTTTTATCCATACAATAACATAAAAAAAAATTAATTATTCATCTTAGATTTACATAGTCAAAGAAAAAAAAATTCCACCCTTTCCATCAAATAGAATAAAATGTTATCTAACAGTTACAACTTTTGATTTGTATGCATAAAAGTATGATGTAGCAATATCAGATATAACTCCAAACAATAAGATCCAATCAATATATAACTTTTAACATAATTAACATGTACTACTATGCAATAAAATAATAAGAATAATAATGAGTACTAAGAAATAAATGAACTTTATTCGTTTACTTATTGTAGATGAGCACACTATTGTTGCACAATTTCATGTTTTTATGATATAAGAATATACTTGTATTAACCACTATATTGTATATATGGTATATACCACATTTTCTTGAACTTTTTAAAATATTGTTTTACAGAAAATATAATTATTATACCAGAAAAAAATATAAGCCGTATTTTTTCTATTAAAAAGTTTATACTTAATATTTAATATGGGATCTTTAATCATAACTGTATTATTAATGTTTTTGAATTATCTTTAAAATTATTAGTATATCAATAACAACTTTAGAATTACATAGCATAATACATGATATATAATACGTTATTATTTTAACACAAAACGTTATAGAAGAAATAAATCCTTAAACAAGATGTTCAAAATTTTTTATCAGTTTATATGTATAGTATATAGCTCATATACATGTAACTATAAATTACGCACTCAAATTATATTATCTACACTATTTTATGTATGTAAAGAGCCTTTAATATGGAAACAATATTAATTTTAACACTCTATAAAATAATATTCGTAATTGCAAATTCTAATGTAACTAAATTGTTAATCTAACTGTTTAAGATATATAATCTAGTCATAGTTCTTAGTCATCATCATATAACTGGGACATTTCAATATTATACTATTACATCTTTTTTTTAGTATAATCTATAATATAGTAGCTTTATTTTTATTATGAGCTTATATAGATTGTTATTTAATCTGATAATACATCTTTTAATAAAAAAAAAAGGATAAAATAATCGGAAATAAAAAAGAATTTGTAAAATTAAATTTACCGATCTTTTTTTCTATCAAAGGAGCGAAGAGAGGAGTTATATAATTATTTATATATAAGAGAAAGATAGAACCTATTATGCATTTATGTTATAATCTACGGAGTGAACCGCATAAAATGTGACAAGTCAATAATTTCAAAATATTAATGATTTAAAAACATTATATTTGGCAAAGCTGTAATATTTCGAAGCGCATATATTTTTCGAATATTTATTTTTTTCTATGTGAAGCTGTCAAGGAAATATTAACAAAACAACTGCTTTTTCAGTATTTATGTCTTTGAGCAGCACTGAATGGCTATAATCATTATTCGTTTTAATATGAATTGTAATTAGGCATTTCAAAAATATATACAATTTTATTTAGAAAAAAAAAAAACGATCCTTTAATTCCCTAGGCCATTGCGTAGAAATAATATATCTAAACAATGTAAATACTCTAAAACACTGCAACTTTGCCTAACAATATTTTTTTCATCAATATTTTTGAAAATATCTACTTGTCGAGTTTTACGTGTGTCTGTGTGTATAATGTGTGATCTTATATATATATACTATTATACATGATATTATTGATATATAATATTCGTATTTCCCGCTTATCAGTAAATTTTTAAATAAGTGTTAACAACTAGTAAGTTAATCAATTAACGTAAATTACTCATAATTATAAATACTTAGGTATAAATTGCACCAATGATATAATATCTTATTGATATCTATGTTCAAAAACTGTTGTCTCTTTAAACATTACAATTGCTAATGATGAATGCTACTAT